ATTCAAAACATTAAATCTTTTTTCTACTTTTATGCATTGAATATGGTAAAACATACATAAATACAGTTATTCATTCAAAACATTAAATCTTTTTTTTACTACAGGGTAGTGGCGCTGAAGATCATACGTCAATAATCAAGTCTGTGATTATAAGCTCGTTTTATTGGTGCTATGTGCTGTCTCAAGTCGTTGGCGGTGTCGCAACTCAAGCTTTTGGAACTAAGTGTGTATTTGGATGGTCACAGTTGGCAACAGCTTTATGCAGTCTACTTATGCCATTAGCTGCAGAATTTCATTACGCTGTTGTAATATTCTTACGCTCAATTCAGGGATTTGCATCTGGCCTCACTTGGCCTGCCATGTACGCAATGGTGGGGTACTGGATTCCTATGACAGAGCGTTCACGTTTTATGTCAAGCTTTCAAGGATTTAGTATTGGTATTGGTCTAACTTACCCACTCTGTGGATTTATTATAACAACATTCGGTTGGCCACTTGTTTTTTATACGACTGGTCTATTGGGTGTCGGATGGTGTTCTCTATGGTACATTTTAGCGTTTGACACACCACAAGAACATCCCCGTATAAACACTGAGGAGCTGCATTATATAGAGTGTCATATTGGGGAAGATGTACGAAAATCATATTCAATAAAAGTTCCATGGGGACATATATTTAGATCGTTGCCAGTTTGGGCGATTGCAGTTACAACATTCGGTCGAATTTTCGTACATTATATTTTTATAGTTAATGGGCCGGCTTTTATGAATCATATTCTTAAGTTCGAATTTGGAGCAAATGGAATTTTGTCAGGAATGCCATTTCTTTGCTCATACATATCGTCCGTATTTTTCTGTTATATTGCAGATAAACTATTATTAAATAATATGATGAGTCTTACTAAGGTAAGGAAATTGTTCACGGGTTTATCGCAAGTTATCCCTGGATTACTGATATGTTGTTTAGGGTATATAGATAATATAACGTTTCTTTTGACAATCTGGTTTGTATCTGTTATTTTTATTACGGCGTCGTACGCTGGAGCAATGGCTAATATTATAGATATCTCACCAAACTATGGGCACTCAGGAGCAGTACTAGCATTCTGTCAAACAATTCACATGTCCGCATCATTTCTATCACCATTGACTGTTGGATTCTTAGTAGCTCAAGAGGTAAATTCTAATAACCACTACAAAGATAAAATTTTATCGTCCACTTCAATTCCATTTAACAGATTCATTTTTATTATTCACTGACCACCTACAAGTTGACCTATGTATGTTCGATTGTTAACGCATTGTTTTCAGAAAATGAACTAGATATA